ATTTATTTCAAATGGCAGGCGTTTTGATAGCTATCATTAGCCATTTAGCTGACTTCAGGCTTCACAGAGGAAAGGTTCATCAAAGTAGCAGAAAGTCGAGGGGTGGGGTACAGAAGTGCGATTCACAGATGTAAAAGAGGCAGACAGACACAAAGGTAGAGAAAAAGGTAAGATGTGTACTGTGAAAGGGGCCGAATATGACAAGCAGTCAGGCCATGGTAGTTTGAAGTCCGAAGTCAACTGCCGGTTAATAGACTTTTTTGCCGTATGAGTATACGTTGCCCAGGATGCACCACCTGGAGGTAAGTCTATTGCACACCCCTCGAAATTGGATTTAATTTGACTGATTTGACGAGATCATTTTATAAACAATTGTGGAGACTGAATCAAGCCGTATCAAGTCGTATGCATTAATGTCCTACTGGATTGAACAATTACTTATTAGTACACAACTTCTAACTTCAAAAATCGTGCACACCAATGATGTATGCAATGGAAAATGGTATCTCACCTTGTTTGTATTAAAAAAGATTCCAATAATATGTAACACAATTTTTTTGTATTTTTGCCAACATTCGATCATGATTCACATTAGTCAAGTAAATTGACATTTCTGAAAGTGAGATTTAGTTATTATTTTCTTTTTTATTTGAAATATGAAAGGTGGAAACATTAAGTAGTTAACTGCCTATTATACAGAAGAGAAGAAGTCGATGCACTCTGGACTTAAATGGATGAGGATGCACGTGTCTAAATCTTCGTTTTTAAATGTCTAATCTATCACCTCTAAATAGATTACTTCCATATTTATTAAGAACATTTTTTCACTAATGTGCTCCCAGGAAATAATCAATCTTAACCTTCACATGACCCCAAATCCATGACACAATGTTAATAATAAAACATGTAGAATGAAAGTTATTGAATCATTACTTTTGAAAAAAATGATTCTTAACGATACAAATATTAAACCGTCATTTTGAGGTTATAGAGTAGCTTTTGTAACTAAAAACGCCCAAACCGCTATTTTTAATAACTTCCATATCTAGTATAACTGCATAAAATTAAGCCACTCAACTTACGTATGATGAACCTATTTTGAGATAACTGACTATTAAAAGTATTTTTAAGTCAAATTTTCAACAAAAAATTGAACATCAAAAAAAACATCATATTTAAAAAAAGTAAGGGGAATGTAATTAATATATCTTATTGAATTTATCAATGAATATTAATTTATAAATAAATTAATATCCATAAACAGGTAAGGCCAAAAATAATAATTCTGAAGATGCAAATGGACGATGAGGTCAAAAATAACTGCAAGTGTAAATTTTATAAACTATTATTTAAAAAATTTTTTTCTTATTTCCAAAGCTGTTAGAAATTACAAATTCATTTCGAAATTTTAACACGAAATGACCTTTAAAAATGACATTTATTCCTTTTCATTTCAGAAATATTAAAAAAATTTAAAAGTCATTTCTAATATTTTCATTTTAAATTATAGCAGGCTAGAAATGGCCTAAACTTGCGGGGAGCGCAGTCCCAACACGATTAAACTGTGCTCACCCGAACTTTCTGGAGGATGCAGACGTGCGTTCAGAGGACTTCTCAGCTGATCAGCTTTTAATGTTCAGTTCAGTTGTGCTAGATGTATTCGATTACTCATCATATTTGAGTTTCCCACCCTATGGAGATAGTTCGACTAATTCTGGTAGCATTTCCACACAAGGATATTTTGCCATAGAGAGTATTAAGGATAAGTAGAGGCATGTCTGTGGAGCAGCCTACTATAAACTCTTGTTGAATCCATTTAATTGCGTCTATACTGGTGCTATTAGGAACAAGAATTAGGTGGAAAGAGAGTGATGAAGTGCGGTGTAGCGTTGGATTATATGAGCAAAGAGTGAGTTAGCCTATAGGGGATGATTGAAATCTGTTTAATCTAGTTCAAAGATATGCAAGCATGATTTTTCATCAAAGTAATTTAAATGGACAGGTATTTTGCGAACCAGTAATGGTCAACTCTTTAGTTCATTATCAAGGTATACAAACTGAGATAGGCAGTTAAAATACCTACAAACACCGAATTGTCTGCTTGAATATGTTTAAATAGGAACATACGTAATTGGTGACTCAGAAGATCTTTGAGAATTGAACTCAAAAGTGAATGTGTGATCGATCTATCTGACTGGGCTGATAGCAAATGGAGAGCCAACTTTGTTTCCAAAGATCGCATGCATACTACTTAATTGAAAAAAAACACACGTGGTTAATATTATTTAATTAGTTAAAAGAAAATAAATAAAAGATCATTAGTTCATATGATTAAATAACTCTGATTTGGCTGCTTTCTTGATCTCTGTTTTATCCTTTAATGGTGGGTCATAAGGCATTTCGTAACTAGATACAACCCTTACGCAAATTATGTGCCAAACAGTGAAAAGGCTTGTGGAATTTTAAATTAGTTCTTTCTTCCAACGGTAAAACCGACTCTTTCTAGGAAAGCATTGGCATGACAGTCGCATTTTCCATCATCGTTCAGACTTGACATAACCATCTCTTGAAATTTGGTTGTTTACAATTTTGCTTCAAAGCACTTCTAAACATTTGATTGGTAAGTTACCATTTCAAACTCATTTTTACTGATTTCTGCGGAGAATTGCAAAAAATGTTTTGCATAATCGTTTCGTGACAAAAGCTTTTGGCGGTTCATTTAAACATTTTGGCAAAAATGCTTTACAAAATAAACATATGTAAATAATGCATAATGAAAAAATTTAAATAACCTCAAATCTTTCCTCGTTTAATAAACAATATTTTAGAAGGGCACAGCTTAATTCGTGATTAGTGCATTAAGATTAATCAGGAAGCAATTTTATTTATCTTAGAATTCACATTTTTAAATATACCTATTGTAAATTATTTTGATGAAAAATAACAAAAGGTAAACGAAACGCAATTTAATAAAATTAAAATATTAGTCCCTTGCAGGAGAAAATTGAGTTATTTTTAACCCAAATTAGGACAAACTTCTTTACAATTAATTGTTTTATTTCCAAACACCGGAAATTGTTAAAACAATGGCTAGTATCGCAAATGTGATAGCGGTCAAGACACTATAGTGAAAGTACAATAAATTGTTTAATGCCAATTGAGGGGGAAGAAAAGGAAGATTAGAAGGAGACATTCTTTCCACATTTTCAGTTAACCCGTCTTGAAAAGTAAGACCGCCGTGTTTCCCAGGTACATGTATATGAAATGATTCGCCTCATGAGTCACGTAGCTAAAATTTAAAAAGTTAATAATAGGTCTGGAGTCTTTATAAATTTTTACCATTGAGCACTTATTAGGAGAAATTTGTGAAAATACAAAATGAGCTCAAATAATCTAATAACCTCTCGTAAACACGAAGGATAATTTTTCAATCTACCATGACAAGTTATAAATGCTGAAAGAAATAGAGTGATGATAACGCTTCGTTTCGATTTAAACTCGGAGTCCATCAATGGGACTATTTAACAGTAGTGAACTTGACTAGCAACTCTCCCGATGGATTTGACTTGAGTCGGTAGAAATGATTAATCCAAAATCATGAATGCCTTTGCTGAATGTCGACTTATGGCATGAGGCGTGGGGTTTTGGATTTGTGTACCAGTGAGTCATTTGCAAATATGGATTCAAATTCATATTAGTTTTTTGTGAATTCTAAACGGCTACATTTATGGAAAGCCCTATCAGTGCCAGCTAAAATTGGAGGAAAGCACCGTAATAAATTTGATAAATGTGGCACTGCAGAAAAAGGAGTATTTCTTTCGTTCCAGGGGTTTAGAGAATCAGGAGTTTCATAAATCTGATCATGTTCAAACAATAATAAAAAGGATATTTTGCTATAATACTCATATGCAACTTTGAGTCATTGATAGTTGTTTGGCCATCTTACCTCCCAAAATGTTTGCCAACGATGCAGTGCCAGTTGGGAAGGTATCTCTTGTCGAATTCCTTCTTGATATGTGAAGCAACGTCTTTCTCGATGTTGTACTTCTCGAAGGCCTCCTCAGCAACGTTCACTGCAGCATTCTGCATCTCAGTCTCCATGTCGGCATTCTTGATTACCACGTCCTCACGTTTCGACATTGTGTGCGAGAAAATAAAAGCGGTGTAACAATTCTCTCATCAACGATTCTGTGAGCTTATATACTTTTCCTTCGAGGTTGACCTTAAAAAGGTCGTTTTATTACAAGTTCATTTAAGTTGATACTTTTGTGCACGTAGGTGTGAGAACACCCACTCGGTGCAATAGGGTTTCAAATTTTATTCACCTTGCGACGAGCGAAAGAAATGTAATTATGTGCAGGCAGTTTTAAAATCACAATGAAAATATATTGTGTCCAAGTAGTTTAAGTCAGGCAATCAAATTTACAATTATAATTCTAATGATTAATAGTAGTTAGTTCATTTACTATCTTGAATATCTTTTTTAAGTAAATTAAAGTTAAAACTCGAGGAGAAATAAATATGAAATTAGCTTTCAAGTTATTGAATTAATTAAAATAATTTAATGATTCGTGGTAATGTATCGAACATGGAAACTAACTTACACTAAGGTTGAATCATATATTTCAACAAGCTTATATTTATAATTCCATTTTAAAAAAGGCGCAATGAGGAACTTCCTTTAGTTAATTTGCTAAGAGCTTTATAACGTATTACGTTGCATTCCCATGATTTTAAGTCTGTAGTTTGAGAAGGACATAATATATTAATATATAAGGGTGAAAACTTTGAGAACATTTCGTTTGATTATTTTGAAATACTTGGTAAACAAAGTAGGGAAACAATTTTTCCCGTGAAACCATGACACAGCTGTCAAATCGTCTGATTTTTAATATCATGAGAATAGACCACGTCTGAGAATTTAAAGAACGACTCCGCAAAATCATACAAACAATGATTGATAACCAAGCCATTTTATGCCGATTAAAAGAGCTTTCAAATTGCTTACTCACACTAAAATTACCTCGGTTGGCAGTGTAGAAATTGCGTTTTTGCCACCATAGTAACGTGCATAGAAATGGAAACAATTAAGCTAAGAGTAGGTTAGAAAGTTTGAAAATCTGACAATTTTAACTGTATTCTGAATCCAACATGTTTACCGTGTCATTTTATAAGTGCCATTTTTCCAATTTGGTATTTAACCCATACAATAAAATTGAGTTTATATTCGCACGGTTCTAAACCAATTGACAGTTAAATTAAATGAAGCTATTGATCTGTTACTATCACCATTATAATTAGCAAAATGACAAAAAATATAATCAGTTGGAAGCTTTCTAAAACTGCTAAATATTTATTTCAAATGGCAGGCGTTTTGATAGCTATTATTAGCCCTTAAACTGACTTCGGACTTTACAGAGGAAAGGAACATCATAGTGGGAAAAATTCGAGAGGGAGTAAGAAGAGTGATCCACAGTTGCCAAATACAGTCACGAAGGTAGGGGAAAAGGTAAGACGAGTACTGTTGAAGTGGTCAAATTTGACATACAATGGGGTCATGATAGTTTGTTGTCAGAAGTCAAGTGCCAGTTAATAGACTTTTTGCCGTATGAGTATACGTTGCCCAGGGTACACCACGTGGAGGTAAGTCTATCGCGCACCCCAACTGGGAAATATCAATTGCCTCTAACGACGTAGGAAACAAGAAGGGAAGTCACTTTCTTGCAGTAATTGAATTCAGAATAACGCAAAAAACTTGAGTTTGGCACCTCTGAGTTGTCCCTATTTTCATTGAGGAAGAGTTCATTTTTGGATTTTGTTGATTAATTCCAGATTCACAGGAACATGTTTAATACACTCAGACCTTGTTGATTGTAGTTGGTTATAGCAATTAATTTATTGCAATCTCTTTATTACTGCAAACAAGTTGATGAGACTTGCAGTGATTAAATCGACATTCAATTTTCTTTTCTGTTCACAAATTTTTGGCCTATTGGAACTCGCAGTCAATGTAGTCCAGGTTTTT